TAATCGTAGCTGTTCGCCATCTTGTATTTAGAGTACCTACTATCGATTCTTATTGAAGTAAATAATTTATTTCTATTTATGTTTGTTTTATTGTTGTGACCCTGACCATAAGTGCATGGACTGGAAACATGTTAGCTGCCTAGCTGATCTTAGTACTCATTTTATGAATTATCTATGAACGTATGTCACATCTACTATCATACCCAAAGATTAATTACACAGTAAAACCACAAAATACTAGAAAATATTCTTATATTTTAATTGATTCTATCTATAATACAAGTACAACAGTTCTTAGTCCTAAAGTACAGTCCGTACAACAGTATCTCATTCAAGTCTGTTTCTTTTAAATCACCTAATATTGTGCATTTGCTCCTGTATCTATTTACAATTACATTCAAATGTTCATTTACAATACAAAAAGTAATTTGAAATAAAATGAAAATGAAATGAAAATGAAAAAGTGTTTTATCCGGCATACGGCATGAAAGCCAGGAACAAAAAAAAGAATATACACTTTGACAAAATAACAATTAAGTATAAATTTCTTTTAAATATAACATCACTGTTTATTAACTTCACACATTGATGAAATGCCTATTTCATTACACAATAATACAATTCCCAGAAGTAGGTCATCGGAAACCACATGTAAACATGCGTCAAAACACTTGAGTCAGCAGTTTTGAATCGAACCATACAATCATACAGGTTATTCACCTGCCATATACATCGTAGGCAAGCCATTGCATCATACTGACCAGGGTGAAACCTCTCTCTGCTCTTGAAACCAATCTCAATGTCAATGCAATTTTAATCCATTACAATCTCAGTAATTATTCAATGTCAAAACTATACAACCCTTATCGTTTTTTTTTCTTCTCCTCTTATAATATCTTCTGATTCACTTCGTTGCGGGAACAAGACAGTTACTCATGTACACAAAGCACCGCTAATTAGTTAGCGGCGCTACACATCGACACAACTATCATTTACACAATATACATGTGTGGGTAATTTCATATCAATAGATATTTATAGAAACATTCGTCTATCACACACATCTTGGTATTTAAAAATCATTTTTGTGTCGGTATACGCAATAATTTAGTAAATAAGTTTAAATAAAAACGAGGGTAAAGATAAAATTACTCATAACAAACTTTGAATAAATCGAAATCAAAAATAATGAACGATCGAGCTATACAATACCCATATAAATATAGTGCTTTCTCATTGTAATTTTATGTTACTGAATGATATAAAATATTTCGATGATCTCACCTACAGCGCGCTTGGCGCAATGGTTATCGCCTCCAATTGTCAAGTAAAGTGCCGCCGGATCGATTCCAACATTCACATGTTGTTTTAGAATTAATTTATCAAATATTTGAAATTTGAAATTAGAAACAATTAAATCTTTTTTTTTTTTTCCTTTCCTATTGTTCTAAATCTTATGTTAATTTTAATAGTAAATACTTTAGATTTATTTATACCTATAATATCTTTTATTTATATTTTAGTTCTAGTTATTTATTATTTAGAATAATCTCATTTGCTTCATGCATTTCAACCAACTTAAATAAGATAAAAACAGTAAAAAAGTAATTAACTGTGATTTCTTAATGGTTCGATACCTGAGTATATTTGCAATGTTTGTGGCGACCATAGAAATCTCGAGTCATTTTATTTTACACGCTTATGAAGTAACTACCGACTATTTAAAACATGTTTTTCAAATCACCCGACTTACAAAATAATTGCGTTCTTAGTTGTCAATTTATGAGGATTTCATAGTTTATTGCTACACTACTTATATTCGTGTGCAAAGTTATTTTTATTTTTACAAGATGTTCCAACACCTATCAACATTTAAAAAGGCTGAAACCATTGTTTTGCATGAGCAAAACATAACTAACAATAACTGAAATAGCAAGGCGTTTAATGATATCGGTGAGTAAATAAGATACTACGTTGATATTCTAAATAATATTTATTTCATTTTGTAACTCGACACACCTATCAATTTTTGCACTAGAATAAAATAATTATTGCAACTTATTATGAAGTTCAATATTATAAAGATATATTAATAATTTATTATTAATTGTATTGTAACTTGACTTGTTTTTGTTAGGAGTGTTTCTTTAAAACATATCTGGTTAGGGATTTTTATTCCTTACGCCACTACTTAATTATAAATTATTATTCTAACATTGTGTTTACTTATATTATTATTATTTTTAAGTAACTTTAATTCCTGTAAAGTATTTCCTGGTATTTTAAATACTTATTTGTTTGGTATCAACAGAGGAGATCCATGCAGTTATGGGTGCACAGATATGCGGAGACCGGTGACGTTAAACATCGTCGACGTGGGCCTAAACCAAAGGCAAATTCATCGGCTCGGCACTACGACATCGTAGCCAGGCACATGGCTGATCCGTTCCTGCCAACCCGCACTACAGCGACAGCACTGAATGTTTTAATACAAACTGTACGGAGACACCTGCATTCTGGTTTAAGGTGCAGGAAGCCAGAGAAGAAAATATTGTTATCTGTGGTTCACCAGCAAAAGCGCTAAGAATTTGCTAAGGACTTTATTAATTTTGATTGGGCGAACAGTGTAATCATATTGAGCGACGAAAAGACTTTCAAGTCGGATAAGGATGGGCGTAAAATATTGTGAAGAAAAGATGGAGAAAGGTATACGAATTGCAACCTTCTGCCTTGTAGGATCAGTGATTGTATTGATTTCGGAATCAATTATTGAGCCTGTCAAACTCTGCCTTTATTAAAATTAACATAAAATAATGTTTAATTTTTTTAAGAATATTAAAATGCTGTCTAGAACATACGGTGAAGTGATGTTATTGTTTTGTGGTTAGAAATTGTCATAATTTCTTTCTATTCAACATGTTTATTCACTTCACTTTAATTTTTCATTAACAAATTTATTTAACTGCTTTCGAACTTGATTGACATATTATATTTACGCCCATCTTCAATTAATTTAAAGTTTCCCTGATTCTAAAGGTCATGAAAGTTAAAATCGTTCCATAGCATTCGTCACATTCTTTTTACTATCATACAGCCCACTGAATATTGAACCTTATAACAACCGTCGTAAAATAGATAATTAATGGAAGTTCAAACGACAAAAAGTCGCCCATTTCAAGAAATATTATGTTGACAGTGTAATTTTTTACATGTTTTACTTGTTTATTACTGTAAAACTGTAATTTAATAATACATTTATATTAAATTACAAAACAAGAATGTTGTATATTTGTTTATTACCTACTTAATAAAAAATGTTGCTGCCATCGTATTACCGCTGTACCGCATGATATTTCCCGATTCGACTATGAGGTTTATTGTCATATCTATTAATTATGATTTAAAGAACTTTAAACTTAACATGTGGTATATAATTAATTATTAGATATAAATATTGAATATAAAACAACATATTTGTATAATAAATAAATTAATTGTAATAAAAAATAGTATTGTTTTATTTACCAACTCATTTGCTTCTTTTATAGCCTGATATTTATATTTTATGACAAAAAACAAAAAAAAAATAAGAAAAATAACAAGGTAAAATAAAATTAACTTTTAGCTGGAATAGAACCCACATCATTGATCCTTGAAAGACGATAAAAGCGTGCTCATTAACCAATCGACCACGAGCACTACGATAATGACAGTGAAAATGTCGGGTCATATCAATGATTGTAAATAGTTTTAACCTTACCTATGCATTAAATTATAAAAATACGTATACCGACACAAGAATGAAAATACCAATGTGAACGTGGTGGACAAATATTTTTATATACAGTTATATGAAATTACGCACACATGTACACTGTGTAAATGACAGTTGTGTCGATGTGTAGCGCTGCAACTAATTAGCGGTGCTTTGTGTACCTGGGACGCGCCGGACTTCAATGTTCCGGTGTTTTCATGGTTGTATCTACTGTAGATCCTGGCTTACAGGAGTTGCAGCGGTTTTGAGAGGTTTTGGCGGGCTTGTCCCATAAAAATAAATAAAAAAACCCTTATCGAAGCTGTTAAAATAGCATTCCAGAGTACGGAATATAAAGCCAAACCATTTAGTTCAATAAATATCCACGCAATACGAATGCGTTAGTGGCGCTAGTATTTCAACTCAAGAGTACAATATTTCACAATACCAATGTCGATCGATCGGAATTGAACTCAAGAGTAAGCCCCCAGAGCCGTGTTACCCTCAAGGCAAACTAGATGCCTAAGGCGCCACGTTCCAGAGGGGCGCCATCAGATGCGCGTGCTATACTGCACATAAAGTGACGGCGGCGCCAAAAAAATTAGAAGCATCTATAAAGTGCTTGTCTTTGGCGCACTCTAGATTTAATCTGCCACTGATACTGGAACACCCTGCACTAATGAAATCTTAATCTTTCCCCAATCAAAACTTTTACTGCGACTAAGGCAGCAGGACACAAGATTGGCACCAAAATGTCCTGAAAAGGGTCCAGTTGATAAACCAGCTGTGATTCTAAAAATCTTAACTTAAAGCCATTCAGAACAAAATTATTTAAGTTTCTGTTAAATAACTCCTACTACTCAACTAAAGAATTTTTCGATGACAAAGATTGCAAGAACATTGTTGTAGAATAGTGCATAAATTTTGCATCGGTATGACGTGGAGTGAGGTGAAGCGTGAAGCTCAGGTCAGATCGCGATGGAGAACTTAAGTGGACGCCCTCTGCCCCATCTAGGGGACACAGGATATTAAGTCAAGTGCATACATTTTAAGTAGAATATTTGTACACCGATTCGGTAGAATGTATGAGACATTAATTAAGATAAAACACCTATTGTAACTACATTCTGACAAATACATTTTTCTTTCTTTCTTTCACAAGAACTCAAAACCCATTATTGTGGCTATATTAAAATTTCAGATACATTTAATATAAATTAACCTATTTACTATAAAATACATTAAGTTATGACCGCCGCATCGTTAACATAACGTTAATCTCCCATATGATTGTCCTCAAGTTTGTTATCACTTCCTTTAACTGCTTATTTTTTAACACCACCTGTGAACAAAACATTTTTTATTTAACAAAATGAATTAATGATTGTAGATCTGAAATGTATGTTATCAGTGTAATAAGGTACTACAGTAATCAGCAGCTGTAGCCAAATGCCATTTAGCGCTTGTCTACTTGTAGAGTAGAAAACTAAATTATATGAAATTGACATAAATTTTGACACTTCTCAGTGTCATCCCCATACATTTAGTTTTCTATTCTCTCGGTAGACAAGCGCTACACTGGCGTTTGGATAAAGGCACAGGGCCGTCTTAGACTACGCTGCGGCCCTTGAGCACACAATAAACCGAGGCCCATTTCGAATGATTCTTTTTTTTAATCAAAACCATTTATTTCAGTTAAACCATAATTTGGTACATACTTTTGAAACGTCTACAAATATGAAATAAATAATAGTCTATCAGTCTGTCACTGACGGCTCCGAACGCTAATCGAACCCGCGACACGTTGGAGCAGCCGGTTACCACACAACGTTTAGCGGGTGTGGCTCCGTCGTAGAAATTATCGGTTCTTCGGGCTTATGGTAAAGAAGTTGCGGACAATAATTGCAAACTGTAACAGTTTGTATAGTATGGCCACTTCACTTTGGAAATTGAAAGACTCAATAGCACTAGACATCCAAATAGTGGCGTAGCTAGGGGACGGGGCTGCCCGCTCTGGATGTCACCCGTTTAGGGGTGATACAGGGTGATAGTTATAGTTATTTCTACCTATAAAAAATCGTAAATCTGTGGCAGAGAGCATAATTGGCGAACATTAATGACGATTAAAAAAAAATCTAGATAAATATAATACCGTAGGTTGCAAATAAAAAATTACAATGATTTAAACCAGATTAAAGAATCTTGGTATTTTAACGACAGAACATAAAGCAATACAAAATGTGATTTTGGAGTTCGCAATTGTCAAAGCTAGAAGGAACAAATTTTAATTTTTGACAAAATTCTCGCTACGCCACTATATCCAAACAACAACTAGCCTAACAATCTAATGGAACCATTGCTCTGCAGTAGATTTTGCAGTTTCAACTGACTGGACTATTCAAATAATTTGAATGTAATCTCACCTGCTCTGTCAGTTCTCTATTCTCCTCTAACGCTAGCCTGTATGATTCAGTGTTCCTTCTTTCATCCAACGCCTTATTTTCTGCTTCATCCTTCAGTGGTATTAGACTTTCCATGTGAGTATATTCCATGCCCTGTAAAAAACAAAGATTTTTCTTAAAGTACAACTAAAATATCTAATGTTTTAAGCAATACGTTGGTAACACCATAATTTCGACGCTGGTGCCATCTAGTAAGTGTCGAACTTGAACCCATAGAACTCTTAGAAGAATCACTATTTAATAATCTTCTCACCTAAGTTGCTTTAAAAGGGTGTCGAGGAAAAAAAATTAAATGATGGTCATTATGATGTAAAATAACATAACATAACATCACGCCTTTTTATCCCCGAAGGGGTAGGCAGAGGTGCACATTTCGGCACTTAATGCCACTGTACAATGTAACACCCACTTTTCACTGTTTATGTTATGAGTCCCATGTAATAGTGGGTGAACCTATTGCCATATCATCAACAGCCTATAAATGCCCACTGCTGAGCAAAGCCTCTTCTCACACGGAGAAGGTTAGAGCATTAATCACCACGCTTGCTCAATGCGGGTTGGCGATTTCAAACTTATAATTAGAAATTATAAGTTCAGGTTTCCTCAGGATGTTTTCCTACACCGTTTGTCAGTGGTGTCTAAATAATCTTAGAAAGTGCATATAACTCGGAAAAAGTCACATTGGTACTTGCCGTTGGTAGGTTTCAAACCCGCACCCTCATGCATGAGAAGTGGGCGTCTTAAACCTCCGGGCCACCTCGATATTGCCATATACCGGGCACATTTTTCCAGACTCCGTGCTACTACTGAGATTTTTAAAAACCCAGTAATACTTTGCCCGACCCGGGAATCGAACCCGAGACCCCTTGCCCGGCAGTCGCACTTGCGACCACTCGGCCAATGAGGCAAGAATGATGTAAAATAATTACTTATTATTTTATGAGTACTTATAAACTTAGAGTACCTGGCATGTCTCATTACATTTCTCGTATATAAGTCGAAGCCTCTTGAACAGGAGTCTGATTGTGCGCAGCTGTTCTTGCATTTTCGCTTTCTTCTCATTACTTGTATTTTCACCACTGTGTGTACCATTTGGTGGCTAAAAATGACAAAATACAATTATTGACACATTCTAATACATGCTGGACCATTAAAAATGCAAATAGATAAAGAAGCTAAGCGGCGTAAATGACTATGAGACGACAACTAGCCATCAGAAGAAGGCAGGGGAAAAGTTGACTTTTTAACGAGATAGGGGGACAAACGGACAAAATATTAAGTGAATGAGAATGGGCCTGCTCAACCGAAGTAATACCATGGCCTCACTGAAAACTGACATGAAACAACACTTCGTTGATTCGACGTGTGAGTGAGGTTACTGGAGTCCCAATTACTCAACTCCCCAATATTCCCAACAATCCTCAAATTCTAAATCCTCAATGTATGTTACTGGAGTAAAACGACTTTTACTCATGTGTGTGTGAATCTCCTTTAGAATACTCCTTTAGAAACTCACCTGAATTGCTTTCAAAGTCTGGAAAACATCCTGGGTTCTGCTCACAATATCTTGCACTGTCTCCTGCCCAAATCTGAAATAATTAAGAATGTATTATTATCTGCAGTAAATAAAAATATATTTGAACATTACATTAACATAATATGACAAAGATGCACCATTACTTCATGTGATGGCACTTGTCCTGCTTGCCAGTATTGTAAGAGCCAACTAAGGGACTAGACATTTAACATAACAGTGCATCATCATTCTTCAACTGAATTTGAACCTTTTTAACAGTAAACAGATGAGAGATTACGACAAACCCCTTAAGTGTAGTACCACAATCTAGTCTGCAATGGATTGTTGATGTTGATTTGACAATATCACTTTAGGACTTGATTTTGTGTTGAAATAAATAAAGAGGTCATAATAATTATCATCATTTATGATAGTGTCAGACTAAGCATACTATACTCGGAATTTTAATTCGATTCCAGATTTGACAATTTCAGTGTTGCAACGTTATGACAAGTACTAAATAGTGACGTTGCGAAATTATTCAATATGGAAATGCAATATTTCTGGATCGATTCTTCTCGTTTATAATTTTACTCTTGTAAACTATGTATATCAGGAAATTAAATATTGCTGAACCGATAATTTAGTTTTGACGATTAATTAACGATTTGAGACTTTTCTTTTATAATTGTGTGTGAAATAAATAAAAAAAATGTAATCATGAAGGAACATGACAAATAAAACAGATAGATGTATAATGGTAATAAGTTATTTTATAAATTGTCGCCGTCATCGCTATCGCTATCCTGTCACTTTCTGTAACATTTATTATAAAACACACACACCGATTGTTTATCGATTTTTGTGTGCATCACTACACTATTATATGTGGTATCATTATTGCACAAAATGACAGTAGCTATTGTCAAATCTGGAATCTAATTAAAATTCTGACTATAGTTCCAATTTGTGTTTTAAAACAATACAATGTAGGTACATACTTGCACAATGATGCAGTGTTGAACTCCTTGTTCTGTGGTGGCTGTGCAGCCGGGGGCTGAGCTGGGGGTGGTGCTGTGTTGTTTGACACTGGACCGCCAGTCTGCATGCCTGGAATATCATATTTTATTATCAAAACACTGTGGTTTGTTAACAAGATTTCATGATATATCTGTTATCTATGACAGTTAAAATTAAATCTAGAGAATGCTTTTTGTTTAAATTTCAGGTGAACTTTATAATCTAAATGTCATATAACAAGAGGTGAATTTTTTTTTTATATAAATCTTTTTTTTGTGAATCATTGCCCCCCACATTAGGATTGTTGAATAGTAATATAAAAAGGGATTAAATTAATTTTAATAATAACAATCAATATATACCTGACTGTTGAACTTGTTGAGGAACCATGCCGGTACCAGGCCCTGCATTGACTCCAACTCCCATACCCTGGAAAAAACACATTACATAAATTATTAATATCAGAGTCCAATCATAAGATGCAATTCTGATTTTATGCATCATAAGGCTTATTAGAATGCCAGGTTGTTGATAAATAATATAAAATGTGACAAAATTAAAGTTAGCGTAATATCTAGACTGTTTGTTTTGGTTAATCCTAAAACTGACAGCAGTAACACAATTTATTAAACTAGTTAACAAAGGAAGTGCTACAAAGGAACTGACTTAACATGTTCCGGCGACTTGTCCAGAGAGATCACATAAATTTTATTCCAGCACCATAGACTCGCCCAGTCAGTCCAACGTAAAATGTAGGCGGCATCCAAGAAAACATCGTTAAAATCATAGTGGTAATGAATATGTTAAAATAACATACCTGAGGTCCCATACCCATGTTTCCCATCTGGTTCTGCATGGTAGCTCCATAGGATGGTACCATTTGATTACCCATGCCCACCATACCACCAGAGTTAGCCATGGGCCCGCCCATTACTCCTGCAAATCATCATTACCTACCAATAACTTAGATCGCAGCAAGAGAGGACTCAGAAATAGTACATATTAATTGATTCCTTAGATAGAAAAGATTTGTATAATTAGAGATAGGTAGAATGTTATATTGGGTAATTATTAAGAGCATATAATGCAAGCAGATAACAAATAAATCCCTGCCTGTATATGGAACTGCCTTTATATGAAACTTTGCCTTTAAATGGAATGTCCGATTAAGTTTGTATATTTAATTGATTCTGGATTTAAGTAATGTATTTTTTATAAGATTTTAATAAAGTATACCTGCTAATTGATTCGGCATAGCCTGCATTTGTCCAGTCATGGGTCCGGCACCGAATCCAGAACGCATACCAGCAGCATTCGCTTGGAAATTGCCAGGGAACTGATGCCCTTGGCCAGCCATGGCTAAATTATTTATTTATTGGGGCTCAAAAGAAAACTATCGGAAAATAACAACAATAAATAACCGACAAACTGAAGCAAACTGCAAGTGCAAAAGTGCTTGTCGACTGTAAATGTCACTGTCACTGTCACTTTTGGCTAATTGTCAAAATTAAACTGTCAAAGTTATTCATAATAATTGGTTTGAGCACAAAGTCTTTTCGGGTACGTAAATAAACATAAATGTTATATTAAAATAAAAAAAATATTCTATTCACACCCGTCCACTGATTAGAATCGGTGCCAAAAGCTCATATCATATAACTTAATGGTCACAAAATTGTCAACAACTTAATATTAGATGTCTAGGTTTTAATGAATTTGTTTAGAAATGATGGCGCCGACTGCTAACCTATCAGTGCCCCTACTATAATTTAAGATTTACGTTTTGTTTGTTTTTAGTTTTGTGTTTTTGAAGTCGGTTTTTTAAGCGCAGTATTTGTTTATTTTTTAAGGTTAGTGATATTATGATGCGCATTAATGCCCATAATGCATAGCATTTTCTCGCTATTAATCTCGTAGCCGTACAATCCGTGGACTCCACAGACGACTGAACGCTGCTATGTAATATGAACTACACACTACGAAAACCCACTATTAGCTACGCACTGCTTTGTGCTACGGACTACGTGCTACAAATCATATCATACCACCTACAGGTTTTTTTTAATTAAAGATAAGGGGGGGAAATCATCTAATGAATTCTCCCGCCCGGGTGAGGCGAGAGGGAGTGTCAGACTCTTACTGACTAAAAACCACCCCGTTCCTACTCCTGCACTTCGAACCGGATCCCCGGCAACCCGTTAAGCCCTCCGCGGCTTCGTGTCGGCATCAGTCCTATTGGGCCCCATCTGTGGTGGTCTGATGGCTCTTTGAGGTACGCGCGGAACATGACGGGCCATACACTTTAGACTATTACCACCTACGGGCTACGAAGTAAGCGAAGCGCGTCGAACGGACTACGCCCTACGAACAAAGCACTATGGACTACATGCTACGAGCGACGGCTGTTGTTGACGATTTTGTCGGTACTTAAATGTGCTTATAGATTTAAGGCTTGACTTGACGAGTGAGTAGGGTTAAAAAACTTAGCTTTACAGGAGATCCGATAATTTTTGATAGTTATGACCAATGCAATCGTGTCTTGACATTAAATTGTTAATGGTCTCATTGTAACAACAAATTGTTGGTTTTGGTTTTGATCACTTCCTAATCTTTTATCACTTCTTTGACTTAACTCTTTCTCAGACGTGAAAAAAAATTAAGGTAAGGAGTAGTGTGTCGAGGGATTTAGTATTTTATGTACCTTAGCTGATCCTCGTAAGATGGAATTGGCAATGCCAAAGTCGATGGAATAACAGCTCAAATTGTGACAAAACAGATAAGATCACAACAATTTTTTTTACAAAATTATTAGCTACATTATATTAGGCTCACATTAACTGGCCCGAAAATAAAACTCGTCTGAACTATTTAATTTAATTCTATTTTTCTATTTTTCTATTTTTTTAAATGAAGTATCTGTCATCAGTGAGACCTACTTAATGGAGAAATGCTCTCTGGTATTCTAATATCCACTTTTTTTAAGTTATTTTGGTGCATCATCTTTGTCAAACGGACAGGCAGCTTTGGAACGACGCCAAGGCGCGCCGCGACACATTTTTTCACTTCAAACATATTTTTCTTTCCTGAAAATAGATTTAAATGTTCCACATAGAAGTATCCGCCTCCGTCAGAGGCGATTAAAAAACATTTAATGTACCTTAAAAATTTATTTTCCATTTTATTTATATTAACCTAAATTAAGTACGATATTATAATTTAAAGTAATTATAACAGTTATTAAGTATTTATTATGAATTCACGTTCATTTTATTGGTATGCAATACATATAATATAATAGTTATTGTGCTTAAAATTACTGTGAATGAAATGCACTATTATGGACAATTCAGTGCGAGATGCCGCTCTGATATTTAATTTATACAATTGATGATATGTGTATATATTTAGTGTAATATATAACTAAGTACAATATTTCATCTATATAAGGCAAGATGGCCACGTCTATGGCTAACTGTTCCTTTAGTACGCATCTACTTAAAATATTATTCTACTTACATTTAAAAGTATAATGAATGTATATAATTCTATATATTGGACCGAATCTTGTGTTTTCAACTGTGAAAGCTCCGGGAGGTAAGAGATTCGATTCGGTCGTTAAATATTCAACAATTTTTATTAATCTTCCACATAATAAATAGTTATCAACATGTAGATTTACAAATATCAACAAAATAAATTACGAATAACAGAATATTACAATTACCATTAAGCTTACACGCTATGTATCAATGATACCTACCTACTCGAGCTATCGCCCCTAACTTGTACTATGTCGCCGTCCATGTCCTCGCCTTCACTTTACTTCAATTTCATTCCCTTCCACATACTTTTATTGCTGCCAAACGAAATAAACAGTTAGTTGCATGTATTGTGTCACCTTTTTAATGAAAACAACCTAAAGATCGTCGTGTTCTGGTATTATATGCATTGAACCAGATTGTTAATCAGATCACCTAAAAGGTGCTTTGATAGGGCGGCCGGCGACTGCCTATAATTCAATACATTAAAAATACATGGACTAGTAATTGAATTAGTCTAACTATCCCTAAAAATAATTATATTATATGTCTACACTTATAATTCTTACGAAGTAATAAGATGTAAGTACCCTAAACCGCTTTGGAGAACAAAACTAAATGTAATTAATAGTTTAACATTACAAGGGCGTATAGATCGTGTACAAAAAATATTGACGTTTCTTCACTGAGACAATAATAGTAGATTACTTAAAATTATATTAATTACTTAACCCTTTATTGCTCTCCCTCATACTTAAGCTAATTCAAGTCCATTTTAGGACTATTGAGCAACATGGACACGTTAATACAGAACTAGGAAACCTAAGTAATTATCTATGGCGTCTTACAACCAACACATCGGCTAATATTAGCTTCATTTTGAATGAAGGGGATCATGAAAGTCTTCATGACTTGTAATCTTGTGTTTGAATAATACTCAAATGTTACTGGATTTTAAGGCGCTCTCGAAAATATTTCTGTTTGCGGATAATATGACAGAAATAGAGATGTTCATGTTCAACTTAAAATCGAATAGCATTTCAGTATTCGTCGTCGTCGGTCGTAAATGTGTTGTAAAAGCTGAATTCTCTTTTCCGATGCTTACTTTTATTGGCTACATTTTTACAGGAAAGTTTTAGGCCAAGGTAGCTGGATATCCGATCAAAAAGTACTGTTTGAGCCACGGTTTCGTTCTTAGTCGTCCAATAGATTGATAGCTGTATTTATTTATATATTTATAACATCTTATTTAAGTAAATAGCTAAGTATAGTGGAAATTATGGACAGGAAGTACACAAGTATGTGTGAGGATAAAATTAGAAGAATTTTAAACTGTACTCGTTTATAAGCAGACTGTCAGACAGTTAATGTGTTTGCACAAATGTTTATCGATAAAATAGATGCCAAATATATGAGGTTATAACGATTCGATGATTAATATTTTGTACCAACTTATAGATCCACTCATGCGCAGCGTCTTCAGTTTCCATAAATAACTGGTGCGCGAGCGACAAGCGAATAAGAGTTTAGACTTTATTCAACCGAAGGTAATGAATACTTTCTTTTTATAATGAAGATAAATCTTTGTTTAACTCTATCTATTTATTGTCATTTAACAGCTATCCGCTTTTAAATGTTATTTTCATCTATAAATTAATTAAATAGATATTTGAATAAGAAGGGTATCTACTATGAAAATATATCTATCGTCTATATGTAGGTACGTATAAAAATATGTGATGTTAGGAAGTTGTATGAATGAGGCAAGAATATTTCAACATAGCTTTGTATATGTTTGTATCTTAGGTATAATTGTATTGGTGTGTTATAATTCTACATACTATTTAAGTACGTAAGTATTACTACATAGTTTCACCACCGACTGGTTAAGTACCGAGGTCTTAATTCTAAATAAAAAGCTCTTAGCCTTTGGTCATTCTTTAACATTTTTTGGTTTATGGATTCAACTAGATTCTAGACATGTAGTCTATCTATATTTGGCCTTTCTTCCATCAAAGTGTAATACAATTGTCTAATGCCATGGTTTGCTGTCGTCTTTAGCTACCGTCCGTCGAGACGCCGATTGCTATCAGCTGTCATAACGTCCTTTCATTCCACATTCAGACCTAAGGTATGTCCTCGAATTCATTACTGGTGATACTTGTAGACATTGTTTCTTTAAAACTCAGATCTGTATACTAACATTTGGCGTGTCATCAGTAATGTACCCGAGCTGTATGATCGCTCCTACTGCATCCTGGCTTCTTGTAGCTGCGGGGGGTAGGGCAGTGGTGGCAAGAGGGGGGCCTGCATGCCTCCGCCTGGCAGTGTGTAGTAGGGGGACACATATCCAGCGCCGCTAGCTGCTGCCGCTGCTGCTGCTGGAATTAATATTATTTTTACTTTAAAAGTTGAACTTTTCAAGCTTTAATGCCAGCATCAAGGAGCACGGGAGAGCCTTCACCAAAGTTACCTGTACCGTAAGCAAAACCGTACAAAAGAATTTATGATAGCATGTGAGTATAGTGTATGGATATTCATGTCTTAACAAAATTCAAACATGGAAATATAATTTAAACTTATTGTAGATCCAAGTAATATTGAAAATATTCCAATAACTTATTTGAGAGTGTGTGCGATAAAACGCGAGTACTGACCAGCGGCTGTAGCGTAGGGGTCGAATCCGGCCGCAGCGTACTGTTGCTGGTACGCGGCGGCGCCCTGTGCCGCGGCAGCTTGGTACTCGTACAGGTGGTTGGCGGCTGCCACTGCAGCGGCGTGCTGCAGCTGCGGCAGCTGCACCAGCCCGCCCGCTCCCGTGCCCACGCTGGCTCCCACCCCGCTCATCGCATTCATGTACTGCGGCGTGCTGTACATGTACCCCGGCGATAACCTGCCAATTTACAAAAAAACTTATATCCAACATCTTCATGTCATCAAAGACGTCAAACTTCAGAAACTGCACATTTGACGCCCTCTGTCACCCGCGATGTCCCCTCACTTGGCTCCTCAAGTCCTCATGAGGAGACATCGAACAATATTATTTGTCAAAACGGTCACACTACCTAGCCCCAGCAGCCTCGAGAGGCACGAGCATCTAATCATGTTATGTTAGTAGACATCGATAAACTGTTATATTATGTAAGTATGCAATGCGACTGCGTATGTCGCCACTGCGGACCGCCGTGCGTCATTGCCAGGAAACTTTCAGAAAATGTAATAAAAATATACAACAGACGGCACTCCGCCTCGACAGAAATATCCAGACCACTCGGTATCTCGTCTAGCTATCGTGACATCGTCGTGAACATTTGGGAAATTAAGACGTTTAATAGCAGCCTATTAGATACGAAGGTTTGTAATGAAAAGAAGGAATCACAAAAAGAAACAATGTTTGTGTTTCGAGTCAGTAACCGTATAAAAATTATAAAAACGGCTGCATTAAAAATTTGGTATCATGACGTAGCTACTTCGCTGCGTGCACAAATCATGTGACTTAAATATTACTAATGATATTCCGCAGTTCGTACAAATATAGAAGGTACTATGCGCGTACTTTCAGAAAGTTATGAAAGAAGTGAAATCTGATTGTTTACAAGGGTCCTTGTGTCATAAGGCATTATAATGAACTGACACAAAATGACATCAATAAAAAACTGCTAATTCTGCTTAATTTGCTTGTGAAGGCAGCCAAGTTTGTTCAAGAGGATCTCGAACTGGCTTCGAGCGAAGTCAGCGGTTTTCGAGGGCTCTTCATCTTCTCTATTAAGCATCAGACCACTTCCCGGTGCAATTATCCATCTTTTTCTACCACTATGAGATGTGATAGAGACAGACTGACTGTTGTTTGTTCTATTTCAACTGAATTAGTGTGGTACAGGGATTTGGGTTAACACGCATGCGTGGTCCACGCCCGCATCCACGCCCCGCCTGCGTTATCACGCCCACCTGTGGTCTACTGCTGTGCCGGTGCCGATAAATACCTACTTGAGGTTAGTCCACTAATAAAGGTCCAAGACAGACCATGAAACTTGTAAAATTCTAAGGGTCTCCTACGATCGCTACTGCCGTTCATTTTACTTCACGTTTCTTCCTTACAACTTAACCGCTCGATACCCAAGTTAATTTAATTTACTAAGTACTTCGAAGAGATAGAAATAATAGTAGTAGGTGAAAACAAACAGCATTATTAAAACTGGCATATATATACTCACACAAGCCGAGCTGACACATCTACTAAAATACAAAACACAACCACATACTAAGTATGATAGCTAATCAAGGATGTATAGAGGAGTTTCAGTTAAACGTCACTTTCAACGGTTCTCAGAGAAAGTATAAGTACGATAATTACATAAATTACATGCAATAAGTAATCGCAAGAGTAAATTAAACTAAGCTCAACGGGTATGTACCTAATTGTAGGTAAATATACAGGTATTATATCTGAAAAATCTATTTCTAAAATAATTTGCCTACAACATTAAACAAATTACACTAATTGCCTACATCGATACATAGATACGGTTAACAACGTACAATTTTATTTCAGGCCAATACTTTAACTATAATTTAAAATACATTTGCCTCTAAACATAGGCTATACATAGTGACCTAGCATTTTAGATAATTTTGTGATATTGAGTAGCGAAAAGCATATCAAATAACGAGGTTCGGTCTTCCAAATGTCGCAGTAAAACCATCAATGATTGGAAACCAAAAAAGCGTTAATTCGATTGAAGCTTTCACTTGATTATATTCCATTAAAACAAGAGTGTCACTGAATAATATATGGACAGTTGTGTTGGCGTGGTGGCCCTGGGTGAGCATCGATCGAGCTCACGTCAATATGTAATTAGCTGGACTGCGAGGCAGGGCTGTATGTGACCGAGGCAGGTTAGACAGCACGGCGGCTCCGCTGCACCGGCGGCGGCGGCGGCGGGCCCGGGCGGCCGGCGCGCGGCGGCGCCGTCGAGAGCGCGCTCACACCTACGCACACACAGCGCGCCCTCGACGCCCGCCGCCGCTCTACCACAATTACTTAGTAAGTGTATTAAACGAAATCCACCACCAACAAAACTCAATTCAAATCAACAAAATCTTACACGAAAACGGCATAAAACATAAAAGTAAGAAAACATTGAGTGTCGAGAACGATGCTTAAAGTGTGACGGCGGTGGGCGGCGCCCGCGCGCGACGACGTCGCCGCCGGCGCCGCCCATGCTCCGATATAGCTTTATAAAACGTAAACATTAAAAAAACCCAATCGACTAATTCACACCCAAAACGAAAAAAAATCCACTCTCACGCTCACGCTTGCCATAGATACCTATGTGAAAATGTTTGATAATTTAGTCTAGGTGTGGTCCGCCGGCCGCCGCGCCGCTAGCCGTCCGGAGACGCCGCTCGCCTCATCTACCGAGACAAAAGTCAGAATATTGTACTCATACCGCTAGGCGATGTAACCTGGACCATAGCTGTAAGATTACTTCGGACTTCGGACTTGGGAGGAGTTCTATCCGCGGAAACTTGTTCATGTAGAAACCCACGATTTGATAAAAGTAACCCTAAATACTTTACGTAGGTACGTGTTTTTGTAATGGGGAAGTTAGGCAAACAGGTTGGACATTTACAAGTTCTATGACATCGAATATTGTAGGTACTCCCAGACATTACGAACACACGTACATGATCGTTGTTCTACTTATAAAGTTGGATGGCATTAATCTTGTATTCTCTTAACATATTCAGCTTGTCCGTGTCTAAGTAAGAGTAAACATTCTACGTCTGATTTTTGTCTCGTGAGATGTATTCAGAGCGGCATGCGGCGCCGCTAGTGCTGGCAAATGTCGAAGTGTTGAACCACTGAACATTGATACATGATACAGATATATTGCAGCGCTAACCAGAACGGGTACTTACCCATATGGCGAAGGCAGCACTGTTTGGTACCCGGCGCGTACTCCCGCTGCAGCTGCAGCAGCCAAGCCGAAACCTGGAAAGAACATTACTTTATCACTACGATGTCACGTGACATACAGTAATAGAAATCCAAATAAAAGGAAGCTAGAGGGAGACATGTCATAAAATATAAGCACCTTTAATGCTACATCATTACTCTTTCATCATCAACATTCGTAAAGACGTTATTTTCGGTCTCACTTAGCGGAAGTGGCTAGAGAGAAGTCAAACTAAAATATATTCCGAAGAGATTGGACCACATCCAAATGACACGAGAGTCAACTTAGCGCAGGGAACGTCACTGTTAATTTCTTTTTATTGCATTGTTAAGTCGCGCGAGGCGGCGTCTATTTTAGTCGCTCGCCGCCCGCCCGGGCACCGGCGTCCATGGACATACCTCTTGACAAGAAGACGACAAACACTCGCTATAAATGGCTTTCGAACTTTGGCACCAGACGATGTTCGATACCAAAACGTTCGCAAAGACATCTACCTAAATAAGTGGCGGCAGCCAAGTTGACGACACTTCCCGGGTATCGAAGTACCTAGAGCTGCACGTGCCCCATCAGAGAGCGAACGATTTCAAAATCTAAACGATAATATGTCATATTTAGGAAATGGACAATCACATGTAATTGTAGTTGATTCATAATCTCTGATTAATGGTTAATATTCAGAAGAGCGTAACCTCTGCCGGCCTGTAAATAAGTTTGCTATTGTGTGGCGAAATTTCACCGGTGATTACAGTGGATCACATCCGCAGACTCCGGATGGTGTTGCGGTTCGTTTGCTATGGGAGTAGATGGTGACCTTGCTACTTTCAATTCTGATAGTTGTGTTAAAGTTCTGTCACCTATAGTTATTATGAAACTCGACTTATAATGGGCATACAGCACATTAGCGTTGATGAGGACTGGCCGAGACTAGCCGTCGGTAAAAAAAGTAATAGCTTATGTAATTGTATGGCATGTAGTATATGTATAACCTCGATCTAGTTGATAATTATAACAGAAATAACAAATTAAACAGCACGGTAACTGAAGTTCAATCCATATTGAGCAAGCGTGGTGAGTAGCAAAACCTTTGAACAATACATGTAATGGTTTATGAAACCAGTGGTCGGCTCTGAGCCCAGGAGTAGAGCGTGGTCGCGTGCCGTACAATGCGCGTGATGTGCCACCGCATTTGTTCGATCGATGCGATGCCATTTGACGGCCGAGGTCGAACCACTGTCCACCACAAAGCTTATCTTGATTCATTAAATTTTTTCTCTTTCCCTTTATGTCCATTGTCAGACGGCCTGATTGTAGCGCGATGGTCTTTTGTTGCTTATATGTGACCCAGATAGATTTTAGTCGTAATCGATTGTCAAATACAATACAAAAGGCAAACAGTTGAATTTATTCACAACAATGTAGACCAAATATGACGCAGTGCAACGCTTCGGCGCTAAAATGAGTCAGTCATCAAAGTTTCAGAGGTATAATTAGTCACGGATCCTCATGAAAAATATTACGGTCATTTGTGTAGGCGATACCTATAAAGCTTTGTCTGAATTCCTTTATAAGATTTTTTTTGTTGTTTTCAGGACGTCTTCTGGAGCTCAGGTCGTCGAACTGCAAAGCCGACAGTAAGTGCTTAACGTCGCTTGTAAGGATTCTACGGAAATACGATTTTAGACGCGAGCCGCCTGAGCGGGATAGAAAGAGTATTATTATATGTAAGTGTATGACTCTGTACGTCGGTATGTACGATTTCAATGCCATTAACTTTTGTACGTTCTACATTTCCACAATATGTCTTCTATGTAATACAAAGGTACATAAACATGTCTGATCAACAATTGAAGCATCTCTGACTTCTCCGAGTGTAATTATTTCGTTTATGATTTCTGTATTTATACGAAATGTGTTACTGGTCGTGTAGCCAGCGTTACCCAATATATTTAAGTAAACCTTTCATTATTATGAACACAGTTTCATGAATACATTGTAGAATAAATATGTCGTGTTAGTTTATCGGTACAAGAATAGAACTAGATGTGTCGTGGCCCAGTTTCGTATGACCAAACTGGCCGTGTTGGACTCATGGCCGTCTCGGTCTCGAATCTTTGATCTGACCGGTGTCGTCTCCGGCAGTATAGGCCATCAATCCGATACTTATTCCTCGGGCGGCTGCCGGGTGCGATTAATTACTCCCCTCCCGTAGCGACCTCAGTTCCTGGGACACTTATTTTTGGACAAAACACGTGCGCGTATGTGCCAACGGTAATTTTTATGACCGACGTGTCTTTCGATGACCCGCGTAGCAGCCATGTTTAATTAAGTTATGCGTCATTAGTGAGTTTGATTGTTTTCAAGTTAAGTATGTTTCACCAATACAGTTTTATTCCGTTGGTTCAGAATTCAGTCTCGTGGTAAAATATTTGAAAGGGTATCATACAGATTTGAGGTTGGGCGTCATGCTTTGTAGGGCCCGACAAAAGATAAGCTGGCGAAGAAAGATGAGGTTCTGGCGCGACGCCAAAACTGGTGTCGCGGCAGAGTCGGCCGCGACGACGTTCCCAAAACTGCGTATATTTAGACAAAATAAAGAGCGCGCCGAAGACAAAACGAGACGCAACTCTGTTTTATAAATAACCGCGTCGTTCGCCGGACGGACTCAGCCTCGCCCGACCAACCTCTGCACGCCAGCTGTTGTACATAAATAATAATTAAGACACGAAGAAAGCTCCACGTCCATCTTTTGAGGATCATCAGATCACGATGAAAAATTTACAGCATCTAGTACTTGAATGAAAAAAAAATTTAATTGAATTGTAAATGGTTTAAAGTGTAACTGTGTAATCTAGTAGGCAGGAGGATTATCGGAGGATCGAAGGGCTTCGTGCGGAAGTCGCGGACGGGGATCGTGTTTCAGATGGTGACAAAGGGAACGGAACTACTACAGTGAAGTGTTCCTGTGTGTACCGGGGTCAGTGCTCGATGCTAGAAGCGTAAGCTGTTTTATGCCAGCTACCTACGCTCATAGCACCGCACGGTTTCCCCCAGCGCACAAATATAACTTATCATTTGAAATATGTGTATTTTTAAATAAATTGACGAGCATGTCTATCATAGATGTTATATAGAGATTAAAGACGATAGATTCTGTATAAAAGTTGCGATTTTTTTATGTGAACGTGCTAATTAGTGAAGATTTTTGGGACACATGCCATACATCCGCATAATACGGAAGACGCTGTTATTTAGTTGGACCGCGTTCAACAACTTCGAGGTTATTACTGTGGCGACGTCGCAAATTAATTTATCTATGCGCACTAAATCGGGTTCCCTTCTTAGACATTCTAAATATCTGGATACTGGGCTCTTAATGCTTCAGTGAGTCGCAGCACGGCAATCATCAATTATAGTTGACAGTCTGTACGCAGTGGCAATAAGAGCTATCGCTTGCAACTAATTCTATCTTCGACCATTTTTCGAACATTTTATGATTATGTCTAGAATAAAATATTTAAACGAAAATAAACCCGTATTGAGGTTCCAAAAGCATTGACCTGGTTTTTATTCGGTTTAGTGAATTACTAGAATTAGCCCCCAATCGAATTATGTTGGTAACTAATTTGATTCAGAGAAATAAGACTAGGGCTGTTACGTTAGTGAAACTTGGTTGCTTACAAGAATAAACCTAAAAAGCTCTGGTATAAGAGTCATTTTATGTTAGCGGTTAAAATCATATTGTAACATAAACTGGAGATTTGTTGTTTGAACTGTAGTTTCAACTTTAGGAAAATAATATTGTAGTAGTACTAAAATCAAGGTCTGGAAAGCAATCTTGGGACTTGACAATGATTGTTAAACTAACAAATATCATTGGCGTTAGGTTGAATTCATTTTGATACTTATTGTGAGCTATACGATAACATCTCTCAACTAAAAGTCACTTAACGTGACGTAGCATCTAAACTAACCCCTTACTTGCACTGTTAGGTGTCACTTTTAGGCTGGTGAAAACCAACACGTCGTTATATGTCACGTATCTTAATTTACGGTTGTTTTTAAATATAAGAGATGCTGGTAAAACGGACGTTATATAGTTAGCTACTATCTCCTAAACATAACGTAACATCACGCCTTTTATCCCCGACTGGGTAAGAAGATTTGCACATAACGGCACTTAATGCCACTGTACAATGTAACACCCACTTTTTACTATTCATGTTATGAGTCCCATGTAATAGGGGATGAGTCTATTGCCATATACCGGACACATTTCCAGACTCTGTGCTACTACTGAAATATCCAGTAATATTTTACCCGATCCGGGAATCGAACCCGAGACTCCTTGCGCCGGGCAAGTAGCACTTGCGACCAATGCCAATGAGACAGTCACGAAAGTAAAAGGCTTTAAATAATTATCACTGAAAATAGAAGTAACGAAACTATAAACACAAGCTAAGACAGAATCCAACTAAAACTTCCTTTCTTCCTCCAATCTCAACACGTATTAACCTGCATCTCACACGAAATCACATCAAAGCGACAATGCTACTATAAAGGCACGATAATGACCAGTTTCCGTTGCAATAAAACAATGATAGTAGCTATTGGTGTGGAAGAGATAGTATCAGAGTCCACGCGATACCACTAGTCGGCCATTATGACTTCAGTCCAAACAATTATAACCAATGCTGTGGCTATCGATTTGTGGTCGCATTTTAGAGATATGTGAATGTAAAACTAGAATGTACTATAAATATATGTCGTATTAATATGTCCATAATAATTGTCAAGAAGGTTTTTTAGCACTATATCAAATAGTAACTGAAAAACGGTAGCGTAGCAGCTACGAGAACTGCTACGATAGCGATGACTACGCCGTAGCCTGCAACAAGCAACATGATTTGCCAAAAGATATATTATGCCTTGTCATTGTATGTTGCATTCAATTTTCGCCAGTTTACTTACTAATAGATAGCTTTAACATCATCTTTAATAACTTTTCTGTGTAAAGTATTTAACCCTCGAATCTTTT